AAATCGAGATGTGAATGACGACGTTCGCCCTGGCCACTCCAGCACATCAAACACCGATGAAAGTGAAGAAAATTGTTATAAAGAATCTTCAAATCACGATTAGAGAAGTTGTTGAGGATATCAGCATATCGGGTGGCTCATGCCATGCAATTTTTTCGGAAATTTTGGGCAGCGAAGTTCGTTCCAGAATTGCTGAATTTTGACAAAAAAAACCGTCGCATGAGCATCGCTCAGGAATTGTTGAATGACATCAACGGCGATACAGATTTGCTTAAAAGGTCATAACTAGTGACGAATCATGGATATATGGTTATGACATCGAAATCGAAGGCCAATCGTCCCAAAGGAAGAGCCAAGACAAAAAAAGCACGCCAAGTTCTTTTTTTATGTACCGCTTTTGGTGGAATCAAATGTGCTAAGTCACTTGAACACTTCACGTGAAAGTATCTATAGAAGAGAGACAAATCTCCAATCTTTCTTCGATGTTCTAGGCTATCAAGGTTGCACGTGATGTTGGCGTCTCCAATCAGGTGGATGGCTCTTTTCTGGATGGAATCCAGCAACTTCAGGGTATGTTTGGGGACAGAGCTCCATACATGCCTCAGCCACAGGTACCATTTTTATGGTACTCATGAAAAAAAATCGGAGGTATTGTATTTAGTCGTTGTATTATTCAGAGTTGAATTTTTCAGAGTTTATTAAGGACTGCTAATTCTTCAATTAAATATTGTAACGAATCTGAAGCCGCTCCTGATCGCTATGCGAGCAAACACAACATCACCGCAAAAGGAATGCAGTCGGCAACCGCCGGTACTCTAATTGAGTACCGAAACGGCTATAGAATTCTAGAGCGATAGTTACGGATATATAAAGCCGACTTCTCGTCGAGAGATGACAGTTGAATTTAGAAAGTGAATCGAGCGGTTAAACAAGGAATTCAAATAGTGGAAATAAATTAAGCTTTAGTTGCTAAGTGTTGAATATAAATTAGTTTGTGATAGAGAAATATTGTTAGAAATAAATTTGTTTAAGACAGTTCATTCGTTAATTCGTTACAATATGTACAGCATGCTTTCAATAATCCTAACAGTTCATGAATGTTCCACGATGCAGCTGTACCTAAACTTTACAACACACTACCTGAACCATTGAAAGGCATTATTGTGTTATCGTCTTGCTTAATATTGAGGAATAATTCGATGATGCGTAAATAAAAGCACGGCGATTGCCCACTGCTGCGGCTCTTTTACATCTTATCAACTTACGCATGATGAACTAAAGACAAACCTTGAAATGAACGCTTCAGCGATGCTGGCCAGCCGCCTGAGATATTTCTTTGAAATTCATTCCCACATATAAATAAGCCAATGTAAATTTCTTCACGTGACTGTTTATTCAGTTCACAGTTCTGGGATATTTCGACGGGAAGCTATCAAAAAAGGAATGTTGACAAAAAAGTGCATGGTCGTTTTCAAAGAAAAGAAGTAAGTTTCTAGAATATTGGTAGATTGTGTCAGTTAGGGATGAAGATCTTGTAAGTCGCCCGAGAGCATACAAGATCTGTTCAAAAAATAAGCTTAATTTTTCATTTTTCTCAAAAATAAAATACATCTATTCACCCATTTCTATTTTGTCCCCTTCAAAGTGGTTCCGCTCAGCGGAACCCTCGAAATATGCACTTTCTGGTATGTCCCTGAGCTCTCTCAGCGATTCAGTTTTCATCTCCTCAATCGTTCCCCCCATGCCCCCTCCCGGGTTGAGTGCCCTGAGTTGAAATCTTCCCCACACGGTTACTGTATGCAGAACATCCCATCTAGTACGAGATGGGATGTTCTGCACACGCTCCTGCGGAGCGATCTTCAACTTACTGATAGCCACTTCAGCAAGATTGGCATTTGACCTCTTTCAGTCGAAAATCACCCTTTGAGTAGGTGCTTTCACTTTCTAATCTAATGTTTTCTTTTATCGTGACTTTCCTAATTGAATTTTTGCATGGGGTCCCCAAAAACTAACCGGAGACGAGTGTCTTTATGTCGCGAGCAAATGTTGTTTCCCAGTGAATCTGGAAATGAAGTGAATTTTAAATCTGGTTAGGAAGTTTTTAAACTTACCGGAGTCGCCTGGTAGCGACTCTCGGGGGTGGTCTCTGGTTCTGGTCAACTCAGTACACCTCGAACTTCATTGTTTAAAAACTCTTTCATTTGGAGAACTGTGTTTATGTGGAATAAACTTCCTGAGAACGTTTTTTTTCAGATAGATTTAATCTCCAGCTATTCAAATCCCATATGAATCGCTACTTTCGCACAGGAACCGCTCTGAACCGCCTCAAAGATTTTCCTGTAGTGCTTGTGTTTTGTCATTTAAAAAAAAAGAACTTGGCGTGCTTTTTTTTGTCTTGGCTCTTCGTTTGGGACGATTGGCCTTCGATTTCGATGTCATAACCATATATCCATGATTCGTCACTAGTTATGACCTTTTTAAGCAAATCTGTATTGCCGTTGATGTCATTCAACAATTCCTGAGCGATGCTCATGCGACGGTTTTTTTGGTCAAAATTCAGCAAATCTGGAACGAACTTCGCTGCCCAAAATTTCCGAAAAAATGGCATGGCATGAGCCACCCGATATGCTGGCATCCTCAGCAACTTCTCTAATCGTGATTTGACGATTCTTTATAACAATTTTCTTCACTTTCATCGGTGTTTGATGTGCTGGAGTGGCCAGGGCGAACGTCGTCATTCACATCTTCTCGATTTTTTGTGAAAAACTCACCACTTTTCTGACTCAGAATAAGGTTAGTTTAGATTAGATCCAAAGTGAGTGGGTCTATTCGACCCTCCACCGCAACCCGCAAGGGTTTATTGTGGCTTACATCTATTCAGGTGTAAGCCACAATAAACCCTTCAGGTCATATGGTAAAAGTACCGCTCTGCCGAACTCTAAAAAACTGATTCGGTCCCCATCGGGGCAGGCACGCGGTGTAGAAGTTTTTCTACCTTTCTACATCATAGTGCGATACTCTAAAAAAAATTGAAGGTCGATCAAAACCATTAATGCTTTTGATTGATGGTGTTGGAGGCATACAACTATTTTAGCATCAAGTTGACAATGTGATTGTCTGTAATTTCATATTCAAGGTAAAATACTCGTAATACATACAAGGTGACTGATATATACATATGAGAAGTTTGGTTATCCGGTCTACATAGCTGTGATCTAGTATAGGTTTTGGCTTCGAACGATTCATTCAAAACTGCGACGGGCATCTTCAGAGTACCTAAGTATTTTATCGGAAAAACCAGTCTTTGTAAAAATGTAGCTTGAAAAATAACAAAAAGAAAGTCAGGTTTATGAGGTCTGTTCACACAAGAACGAACAGAGTACTATCTTTCTTCAATTTTGATCATATTCGTCAAACGCCAATGTATACCTCTAGCTAATAGAATAGATACTACGTAACTATCTAGTTTCCATATTCAGTTACCTATTTAGTATATCGGAACGAATTTAGTAATCGAAACGATTACTAAACTAACAGCGCAGGGCACAATTATGAGTAAGTAGAACATATATCACTTAAACTATATTTGGACTTCATTCAACCTGTTTAGCATATGAGTCATTTAACAACTACACACCAAGACAAGAATATTTTATATAGTCATCGAAACATCTTAATTACCGTGTCCCAAAAGTTGTTACTTGGCAAAAGAGTCGGCAATCCGATTACGTATTACGATGGCTGACCTATCTCAGGGTACAATTCCCCATACAAAGCTAGAGATCCAGTAGCATTTCTCAAACATCTCGCGGATACGAAAAACATATCAACTTTCTCGTCATTAGAAAAATTCTTGGCTTCCCTCTCATAAATTCACACGAATCGTATGGTTATTCACGTACTTGACAGTAAATTTGACAATTATATATATTGTTAAGTTTCCACTGTACAATAATTAATACAACCAAACACTTTAACTTCAACTAATATTCGAATGTCTGTCGCCTTATTAGATCGCTCCGTACCACACTGTCACTCAAACTTAACTTAACTTCACCTGATTTGAGTATATCGATATGTACATAGGAAGCGTATATATATGGCAATCGAAGTGCCTCGAAGGCGTTGGAATTCCATCGAAACGACGGGAATATCGAACAACCGCGAAACGCCGGCTGGGTTGAACGGGTTTGGCCACGTCACAATTGATTTACGACGTCCAGAGGCGGCCGGCGTTTTTTTTAAGGAGACGATTCACAACAATATTCTGTTGATTCGTGGCTCACGTTAGACAAATAAATTCATTTCAGTACTCTCATAATTTTTCTCCACTATTTTCATTTGTCAGAAGACATCAGAAACAAACATTTATGTTCTATAAAAATCGGCTTTTGAACTGTTCTTCCATATTTATACAAAATTCTGGGATTTACGATCCCTCTCAGACAGTTTTATCTCTTCATCTCAGAGTTGTCCCTCAATCTTGGTGGACACTATTGTGGTCGATTGAACCCTTTGTGCTCGGTCCATCTTGTTGTAATATTCAGCTAAGTCATCTGGGTAGTACAGTACTTTTTATTTATTCCATTATAAGGTTCCACAACAATGAGGACCAGTTGCCCCTGAAGACAGCCTCGTGATACTAGTGCCACTACTGTTTTGCCTATTCCATTACAGCCCAATCTTTCTGCAGTCCATCCACCTGTCGCTTGTATCGCCGATGTCTCTTCTTCTTGACGCCTGGATGATTGATTTCGAGGGATATGGGTATCATCAAGCTCTACAATTGGTTTGATGGCAACTTTGAATCTACAGAATCCCTTATAACAAAACCCATCCGGTTAAATCAAGTTATAGGTCGAACAACTTTCTATATTCCAATATACACTATTCTTTCGAACATATTGTGGTACCCAATGTTACATCTATTCCATTGTGGTACCCAATGTTACATCTATTACCTCCATGATCACGAGCTGCTTCGAATGAAACAAATTATATTTCTTTTGTTGAATGATATATTTGATTCTTAATTTACATAAATTATTTCCCCCCTATCATCAGTATCTGTAATGTGTTTTAGTTATCGTACTCATGAACTTATAGACAGCGCATCTTTCCGGCAGACACTGTCCCAAAAATTCCAGCCAGCAGGGCTCTTTAAGGACGCTGCTCCGGTAGTCGTTGAATGAAATCCTGCCGTCCCTGTCCAAGTCCAGTTTGTGCATAACGATCTCTATCATGTCTTTAACCATCTCTTCGGCGTCTGCCGGACCACCCGTTGACCAAATGGAATATCTGAGGAATCTGAAGAGAACCTCTCTTCCCAGCACTCCGGTGTTGTGCGAATCGTAAACCGAGAAGCAGAATCGAATTTTTTCCTCCAGATTCCCTCGCAGAAACAACGAAAGCGAATTTAGAAACGTTTCCATCGTGACGAACCTACTCCTGGACTTTGGGTCCAAGGCGGTCATCACCAGGTTCATGATGTAAACGTCGGTCATATCTAAAGCTTTGTGCAGCACGTCTAGGTATTGTTCTCTGGTGATACCTTTGGAACTGCCGTGACATTTTTGGAGTTTGTGGTAGATTATCATGAGAGACTCCAGTTCCATATTGTTGAAGTGGAGTTTTTTCAACATGTTTTTGGCAAATTTGTCGTGGCGTTTCAGGAACCTCGTGGTTTCCAAGGGATTCAGGGTGCTGTCGAATGCCATTGAACTATCCGGTGATTTTGTTGTTGAAAACCCTGCTCTTCATTCACTGTTTTCATTCGGAATTTGACATGAATACTTAATTTTGGCACACTTCCGCTAATTGATGATTTACGATGAATGTAGTCACATAACGCGTACCTTTTCTCATTTTGCGATGTTCATAGGAAATTTTTGTTTGATTTGTGGGTTCAGGAATATTTCATCTAATTTTTGAGTATACGGAAGAGTACCCAATATCACATGTGACATGACATGTGTTTGACATGTGAAATGACATGTGTTTGACATGTGATATGACATGTGTTTGACATGTGTTTTTATAGCTCCAATTTTTTTCTACAAATTCAAATTGAACCGAAACGCTACCGAAACAGCTCAAAAAATTAACCAGGCATTTGGCGTTGGTTTGCGAAATTTCGTTTCGGAGATTTTAACCTCAACGATGAGCCCCGAAGTGGCCGACCGAAAGTAATCCAGGGCAAGGATTTGAGAAACCTGGTGGAGACTGACCCATCACAAATGATGGCGGAAGAACTGGACGTCAACCCCCAAGCGGTTTACGATGGTTTGAAACGTATTGAAAAGGTCAAAAAGCTTGAAAAGTGGGTGACATAAATCGCCCCGTTTCGAGGTTTGTTTTTAGGAGGATAATTAATATATATTATAAATAGTAGAGGTCCCAAATTGGATTCCTGCGGAACTCCTGAGTTGGCCTAGACCTTCTCAGAGATGTTTCCGTGTTACTACGATCAAGAGTGTCTGTCAGTGTGAATGTCATAAATGGAATGTTGATACTTCAAGACTCATACTTTCGAAGGAAGACTGCAAAAACATTGTAAAGCAATTCTTGATGAACACCGTACTAACTACAAAATGCACAACTAGTTTAAGAAGTTTCATTCATCTTTTTGCAGATTTTTTTATAAAATTTTCTCCAGATATCTACTTCGTCAAATAATATCTACTGCATCAGATTTTCATTGGACCACCCTGTATTCATCGATATTTCACAATTCAGTTCACCTTGACCATTAGTCTATATCACTGACAAACATTTTCCATTATTTGCATAATGGAAATAAAAAGGGAACACTTGCTGGCGATAACAGGTAAATATTATTATGTAAATTCAAGAATCAACTGGGTTGTCGCTACATTTAAACAAATTAGACAAGTGACTGAACTGCAAACTGAATCACCTGAAATATAGTTACGAACTTCATGTTCATGAAGAGGTAATATCTATTTTAAATCGTGTGTCATACTTTCCTTCTACAGCTCAATGAACATACTTTCAACTGAATATTTCATTCTTTATTGGACAATGTCATTTGTTGAATTTCGATCTAATATCATCTATCAGAGATGAAATTTATAAATCACTAAGTATATATTTATATCTTGGTTCACCGGAAAATGAAAGAGATACGAAATGAAAGGTTTGGTGATTGACTTTTTTTGTAAATGGAGTCCAGTGCCAACTTTTTTGCATAAAAAAATGTTTGATTCAATATTCAAAGATGTTAAGAATCATTATTCAAGTGATATGACAACGCACAATCTCTTAAAAAAAACTTCAGAATAGCTAAAACATTGAAAGAAAAATTATTATCTATCAGGAGTTGAGAAAATGTCTACCCAATTTAAACTCTGTAGGAAAAACAACAAACAAAGACGATATAATTTATATAGATAGATATATGCATGTATTTTTTCCTCATTTATTACTACTACATTCTGTGGTTTTTTCTTTAAGGGAGATTTATTTCTCCAGAATTATATTTCAGTCAGTTTATAGATTCAAATGTCTAAACATCAATCAATCGAAAGGTAAATTTTCGATATGTGGACACCTGGTTCA